GAAGAGGAAGGAGCAGGACCTAATGAACTTCATGTCGCCCCCGTGTAGGCGCCTTGGCAACTCCATCCAGAGTATCCAAGCACATAGCACCAGGAAGGACAGCGGAACCAGAAATACTACCCCACCAAGGAGACAAAGATGCAGATGCATGCCAACGAAGTCGCAGTGCACGTTGTGATAAGTTCTGACTGTGCGCACTCCGCTGGGATGATCATTGCAGCGAAAGGGCTCCAGCAGCGAGCTGCAGAACGTAATAAAAAACAGAATCCCTAGTACACCAAGCGTTCTCCAAAGCATGTACATCCTCGCATGCCTCTGTCTTTTGCGCATTTTGCGGTAGATGTGGATCAATAGCGGCCCCAGTGCTGCGAGCAATGGCACGCCCAAGGTCTCCATGGAGAATTGCAGTATCGGCGTCAGCTCAGCCACACAGTTAAAATAGGTCAACGTGGAGAGAAGCACATCAAGAGAAAGAATGTCTAACGCTTGCAGAAACCAAGTGAAGGGCTCCTGAGACCCAAGCACGTGCAGGAGACACTGAAAGATGCTCCATGTTTTTACAAACCAAAACGCAACAATCTAACTCCCTTCAGGGTTGGCCCAGGCTCTCCCCACTCGATGTCAAGTTGGTGAATGACTGACAACACCTGTGCGCAGGTAACCAGCTGGCTTAAGCTGAGTGAGGCAACGAGTAGGCGGCCATCTTGCTTTCCATCGCGACCCGCATTGAGGACAGCATGGAAAGCTCCGGTTCCTCCAAACAGCACCAATCCTCCAGCAAGCAGCAAGGCATAGTCACCTCGCCACAGGGAAGCATGAGATATGACAAGAACTCTGGTTTGGGTGGCTGAGGCCGCGGGTATCTGCGGGTTTCGATCCAGGCCTGAGGCGCATGATGCGCATTCGCCAGAGCCTGTGGCATGCAGACGATGCCGACAGCTGCCGCAAGCCAGGCTGCTGGCATCCCTTCCTTTTGCACAAGTTCCTGGAGGCCCGCCTGGACATCTCAAAAAGTTTCCATAGCACTTGAAGACCTGACCTGGCTCGTTCACGAGCGAAGCATATCCTGGAAGCAGTTCCAAGTTGCCAGAGCCAGGGCAGCGTGTTCCCAAGCTGCACATCTCACAGCGGCCCTCATGAAGGTGAGAACCCTCTCTGCAATTGCACATTGCTTGTGAAGTCGCCCCTGCCACTTCGACCCACTTCTCTACTTTTTCTCTTAGTAAAGGTCGGCTTGTGGTCCACAAATCGTCATCACCACAGATGTGACAGGCGGTCGATCCGCTTACGTTGGCAAAAGTGCCGAGATCACACGGGATGCATTCCGCCATGCCAGTTCGATCACTGAATGTTCCAGGTTCGCACTTTTGACAAAGCAGGGCACCAGACTCTCGCTGTGATCTGCCAGCTGGGCACGAGGTGCAACGGTAAGTCTCTCCAATACCATCGACAAGGCTCTCCGAGAAGCTTCCAGGAGGACAAACGCTGCACGAAACGGCCCCGTCACGAGATGCAAGGTGACGTGTCTGTGAATCTTCCACGCCAAACCCAGCGATGCAGGTCGTCTCGACTGGCACCCATGATTGCCAGATAGGTCTGTTGTCTTTTATCCATTGACACGCCACCTCAGCCAACGGCTTTCCACCGGCCACATTGGTCAGCTGCTCTTGTATCTCCAGAAGCTCGAATCGCCTGGGCACGACTGACTCGGCGTTTGGGTTTGCGCCTAAGACCTAGAAACAGCCCTGTCGGCAGTTCATTGTCGAGCAGCAGGTTCTGAAAGAACTGGTGTAGTTTGGGAGCGGTGGAGCGCAAGCTTGGCTTCACAAGCTTGCCGATATATGATCCCTCGGCTGCTGTTCTGAAGTTGCCCCTGGCCCACTCGCTAGCTCTGTAGCGGGGCAAGACAATGGCAGAAGGATGCAGAAGAGTGAAGGCAGCATCTGGAACCCACCAGTAAAATAAGATGCGCAAGTTGTTAACATACCACGTGTACACGCCAAAGTCCGCCGCAACCCCGATCGCTGCCGGAATTCCGTAAGTGGCCGACCTGAAACATGCATAATAGGCAGGACGCAAGCTGCGAAGGGCTACTCGCACATAATTTCCGAGCCTCAAGCTCTAACTCTGTCAGCCTACGCCTGGGCAAAGATTGAGGCTGGGGTTTGGGTTATCGGTTATCGGTTAACGGTCTAGCAGAATCTAGCAGAGCTTCTGGCTTATCAACTACTAGTACTACTCTCAACTCTGGGTCGAATTGCACCAGGCGAGGCATGTCGTCATGTGAGTGTGTAGATCGGATATGCGAGATGCCACACGACAAGGCCTGTGCAGCTCATGTACAGACGTATCGATGTACACGTCATCTATTCTCTCGTTGATATTGCTCAGACTTTGGTCAGCGCACAACAAAGCTAAAGTCTAGGCAACTGTAGCTGCAGTTGCAGGCAGTCTTACCAAGTGATCTGTGCCAACTTCTGGCCGGGACACCACTGCATGAAGGCATTGACACGCCAGCCGTTGCCCGCAGATAGAACTGGAATGCACCCAGAAGTGTCGTGACGGCAGGCTGGGCTGATCCAGAAATACCCATCAGGACAAGTCGCCACAAAATGCCCCTCGTCGTTCTCGTTGACCCAAGTAACTCCTTCTAGATCCCCGGTCCAGTGAGCATACATGGCCATCAATGGTCCATTGTTGAACTCGAGATCTGTTCGGTTGCACGGGACAAGGTCTACAGGCGACAAATCCGTCACATGATCGAAGTACTTCTTCGGATCGTGGAAGGACGTATTATAACTCTTGTAAAACTCCAGGGCAAGGCCAGAGTCGCGGTAAGCTGCATCCTGCACACTTGCAGTCAGGAACAGATACTCCTCTCCTGCATATCCGATAGAACCAAGGTCTTCTGGGGCGAGCTCAGGGTTAGCCTTCTGATACTCGGCATACTGAGTGGGTGATGAACCCAACCAGCTTTCAAGTGCAACGTGATTGCCTTCACTCGCGCATTCTATGCCTTCAGTGTCATGGCACTCAGACAACAGCGAGATGCCAGCAGTGATGTCCACTGCGACGTCTGCGCTGACCTGCGAATGAATTCCCAAGGCTTCGCGGACAAGGATAGCTGCGATGTGTGTCACCAGCTTGGACGAATCCCAGTCATAGCACACCATGCCGACAGAAGAGTTGCGTCCGGAAAGGCTTGGAATAAAACCTGTTCTGTGGAGGGCTATTGCATCATGCAAGCAGTGGGCCTCCGAGCTTCCATTAAGAACATATTCAGCACAGGCTGCAGTCAACCAGAAAGCTGCAAAGCTGTAGCGGAGCATGGACCCAGCACGGCTTGGCCGTGGGGAGAGCTCCGGTTAAAGGGGAGCTTGGGCCGACACAGACACAGTCGCTCAGGCTCGCATCCAATTCCCAAAGATGCTGAACTGCCGAGGGAGGAACTGGCTTTAGAAAGACGGGCTCGACAGTCTCGACTCGACGGTTTGCACGAAAGTGGACAAAGGAACTTTCCCCGACTCTTGCTCTCCAAAGGCCTGAATCATGTGCTCCAAGTCCAACACTTGCTTCTACAAGCTAGCAACCGCTTTTGATCGTCAACTTGTCCTGCTGACGGTACAATATCCGAAGGAGGGGCATTCCGAATGTCAAGCCGAATTATCGATGTTGAAAAAAAGGTTTTCAGGAAGGGGGCACCGGGTGCATGTTTGTTGTTTTTGTCGCCACGGTCCGCCAACCAGCGCTGTACAACGTGACACAGCTCTCTTCGAGCGGTGGACTCAAGTCTGTACAGATTTCCGGCAGCACAAGCAAAGCAGCTCAGCTTTGCCGAGTGTGAGACCTAGTGAAGCAAACGCATAGCCAACCGAAAATGCCGGTCCAACAATGCGTTTCTGGAGTGCTCTCTGTCTCGGCAGAGGTTTTCGGCGGGGCGGGTTCTTCCCGAGATCCCTTGATTACCCATCTGGCCGCCTTTGTTTTCGCGGCCTGTATCTCTGGGCTCTGGAATGCCTCTGGGCTTGTGCCATCACGGGACGTGATCTGCAGCATCTGTTCTAGATGGCTGAGCCTAGGAGCTTCCAGGTAATCAAGCTCAGCACCAGCATACCACGCACGCACTGCATTTCTGCTGCGCAGATCTGCCTGTCGAATGGGCTCCGGAGCTGCATAATGGCACAGCTGGGAAGTCAGCGCCACTGCTGTCTCCAAGCTGAGGCGATGCCCGGGGCTGACCACCAGACATCGGCTACCCTTTGTCTTTAGCAGGGCTGCTACAGAGCAGAGAGGAGCCCACTCTCTTGGACGATGCAGGGTGTGAGCCAAGCGCCTAGCCACAGATGAGTTGACCTCACCCACTTTCAGAACGTCCTTTGCAACGCCGATCGTTGGCAAGTCGATTGAAATCCCAAGATGGGTAGCAGCACCACACCGGCGAGGATGGAAAGCACCGTTGCCATCTACAAGGACCACTTGCGGAAGCGCATGCCTGGGGACATCTTTGAACATCTGGCTCAAGGCGGGCACTTCGCGCATGGCCAGAAACCCTGGCACGTATGGAACCGTCAGCCGAAAGGCTGCACTGCGCTCATAAACCACCTTTAAGCTGGGAAAATCGAGCACTACGATAGCCGCAATGGCATAAGTTCCATCTGCGAAGAAAGACACATCCACACCGCCGACTCGTGAAAGACCTGGGAAGTTACCGTCCTGGCCGGCCTCCCAATCCAAGCAGTCCTCCTCTACTCGCAGCTTTGCAAGTGCCACCTGCTCGGCTGTCCAGCTTGCCTTCTGCTCCCGCGAAACCATTGCAATCTACTGCGAGCAGGAGATGTTTGCAGAGCTGCACCGAGCCAAAGCCTGGTCACCCTTCCTGCTCTGAGCACGTCACTACACTGTGCCCCCTTGGCAACATGACCAGACGCGGTGTTAGATTTTTCCTGCAAGTCCGTCTCACCACAAGTCGTGAAACACGAGCGCTCTCTAGCTGTCTTTTCTCAAGTGCGGGCAGGCCCTGTCTGCAGCTCAGGGGGTAGGAGAGACAGATCCAGGCCCTTGTACTCCACCTTACAGCTCATGTCTCTTTGCTTTGCGCAAAGGTAAAGCGTTGCAGCCCCTCCTCCAGCAGGCTAAGCCCTGCACGAAGTACTGTGCGGCATCACTTCGCGAAGCCTCCCTTCCTGTGCAGGTACGGTTTCACGCCTGGTCCATACACGATCCATGCATGGCCGCTGCCATTTGCGACCTGTTCTGAGACGTGGCTAGTCACTAGTCGAAACCTGCCGCCAAGTCTCGCTTGGAGGCTCGCGGCGAGATGTTGGCACCTGCCTCGTGGCATCTGGTTGCCATGTAGCTCGAACTGCTCTTTATGAAGCGCTGCTAAGATCCCGATTTTCACACTTTCCAGACATGTGCTAATCCCTTCGCTGCCGCTTGTGAATAGCAGCTTGGTTGTCTAGTTTCATCATCTGACACGCACGCTTGCATTTTTCCCACCTATACATCACAAGACGGGCCGGACAGCAACACACCCTTCGGGTCTGGGAGCCTCGGCGTTGCGCTCAGCGGCACGTCGGCGGACTGCCGTCAGGGGCCCTGAGCAAGCTGATGCATGCAAGCAAAACTGTAGTACGTGCGACAGGCCTACACCCTCCTCTGCCAAGCCGGCGAAAGAGTCAGCAACAGCCGACTGTGCCTTCAGCTAAAAGCTGTTGTGCAAGATATTGTGGACTTGCTCTGTACGCTGTGCTCCTGGCTTCTCTGACCCAGCCGGTGAGGTTGCCGAAAAGCTGCTGCGCTCCTCGCACAGTCCTCGCCTTATGGGCATGCTGACATGTGTGATGCTGCGGAGCGGGTTTTGTGGATTGTGGACATCAACAAGACTAACGCACGGCAAGCTCCACTATTACATTACATATCACCGTCTGAGAGTGCTGGCGGCAGTTTCTTGTAGTGCCTGAGCATCGATTACCTCCTTCCTCAGCTGAATCACTGCACGTGGCTACGTCATTTCCCTCAAGTGTAAACAGTCGGTAACAGGAGGTCATCTGCACCATTCTACGTCTACCTTTGTCGCAGGGTGCCTTAGCTCCAAGACAGCGAGACCTTTGCCTACTGTCCGCATTCGGAAGGTGGACGCACAGCTGCCACATGTCATATTGCTTGTACGAGTGCTTCGAACTCATGAGGCGCTCTCTTGCAGCAGTCCGAAGACAATCTCAAGCCAAGAAGCGTTGCCCGCTCTCCCTTCACATCGCTGGGCGAGGCAGATGCCTGCAAAGCCACTGGCATCTTAGCTTCTCTCGTTTGTTAACGCTTTGTGGATCGACCTGGGCTGTACCTGGAGTGAGTTCAAAAGCGCCTGCTGGAATGCTGTCAACGAAGAAGGAGCCAACAAGGAGGCTTCCCATCACACTAAAGGCTTTCTGTATCGCCTCGGTTCAACCTGCACCGAACCATTGCAGCAATAAGCCGCGAGTTGCGAGTGCGTTCGATCGCTTGAAGGCAACTTGGCTCTAGTCTGTCGCGAAGAAAGAAAACATCTTGACATGCGACGATTGCGGCGAAATGGAGCCTTTACGGATAAAACATGCCCTCAGTTTGACCGGGACAGTCCAGGCTAAATGCTCTTGTCACCTCTTGCTGCCCGTAGCCCCGCACAACCAGAAAGCTTCATGGCACCACCGTGTCATGTGCTGGTAACATGCTCCTTTGTCTGCGATTGCTGAGTGCTGCGCATGCCACGAGGGGATAGTGGCAACGGCGGGGCGGGTGGTCGATAGGCTGTGGCGATGCTCTGTGTTCAATGGCCTCGGCGGCTCCTGCCCCACGACCTGGCATGTGGTCCACACCTGGCACAGTTCGGCGCAGTCACTTGCCGGCCTTTTTCGGTCCAAGCCACGGATGCTCGGGCTGGTGCTTTCTAGACAAAGGTCGGCGCGTCGCTCCTGTGGCTGTCAAACAGAGCGTGTGGAAGCCCTCCATCGACTCGAATTGCGAGGCCAGTCTGAATTTAAGACGTCGGCCTGCGTCGCATTTCGAGTTCTGTCCCACTCTGCTAGCTCCCACGCAAGATTGAGCCACAGTGCCACAATACGGCGCACAAGAACGAGTGTTGGAACTAAGCCCAATCCTGTAGCACTAGCAGACCAATAGTTCAAGATCAGCAAAATGCAGACAGCTCACGCAGCAGAACACACAGAGCGAACAAAATTGTGAAGGCGTGGAAACACCCGAAACCCAGTGCAATAGAAGCAAGCACATCAGCAGGTTTAGCAGCAGACCACAAACAACGACACCATAGTGGTCTCTTGGAGCAACATCTATGATCTACAAGTTCAACGTGGCACAACACCACGACACGACAGGAAGCAACAGCTAACGACAGACTCAACACTGTCTGTTACAGACAGCGACAACAAATACGTCAATGGCAGCGAATGTCGGCAGTTGTGCGCCAAACCTTCTTTCTGCCATTTCCTACAGTTGACCACCAAAATTTCGCTCACGACAAGTAGTTGTCGTAGGAACATGGCATCCAAACGCTACAAGCACAGCAGCAATAGCAGCAGCTGGTGCAAGCAGCAACAGTTGCTGCTGCTGCTGCTGCTGGGACGACAATACTACCACTACTGGCTGCCACTTCTACCACTACTGAATACTACCGCTACCACTGCCACTCCTACTACTACTACTACTACTCCTCCTGCTGTTGCTGCTGCTGCTACTACTACTACTACTACTAATACTACTACTACTACTACTACTACTACTACTAGTACTAGTGCTAGTTTTGCTTTGCGATTCGCAAACGCTCAGTAGCGTCCTAGCGTTGGAGGCACGGCGACACCTTTGAGCGCCGGCTTCTCATGGAAGCGCATATTGCCGGAAGTCAACAAGAAACGCCTTAAGCGATTCGAGAGAGTGAGCACCGATCCGAAGACCCAAGCATGCTCAAAATTTGGTTCCCAGAGCTACGAATTGACAAGATGCGAATGTAAAGATTGCATGTGTTGCCACCCGGGCCGACAGCCCCAAGCAGTGGCGAACACGGAACGGAATGGTCTCTCTGTGATGCCTGTACTGGGCCGACATCTGTACAAACACAAAGTTGTCAAGCCAAAGAATGTGCATTCACTGGAGACATGTGCATATGAAAGCTGGACTGAAGCAAACTGGAGTCTGTCATACGGCTTCTCACGGCTCATGTCTTGTGTGGCGAACGAGCAAGCGAGTGCCCAGCAGCTAAGCGATGTGGCAGCGCCGATAGCCGCCGAAACGAACAACCTGACATGACCTTGGTGTCACCCTGAGCATCGAATGTTGATTACAATCAATATTTGCGACGGTTTTTGTATTGATATTGATTTTGGTCGTTTGTGTTGATATAATCAATATTGGTTATCTTGATATTTTTCTTGTCTTCTATTGAAAACCTATATTGATTTTATATATTGATTATGATGGTGCCCCAAGCATGTTTTCATATTGATTTTGTGTGTCCGTTTGTTGTGCTGACAGACCG